CCACATTTAATGTCAGAATAGCCAACGGGGAGCCTCTTCGTAGCCAAGGTAAGTTTGATGAGGTTCCAGTAGTTATACAAGGTCATGTGTTCCCGGTTTGTTTCTTTGGCCTCCCTCTTGTTGGCATAGATGCTGTATTGAGAATTGAGTGGTTGAAAACGTTGGGGATTGTTACTAATGATTGGCAACACCTTACTATGTCTTTTACGCATCAAGCCAAACCGATTACACTCACGGGTATCAATCACTGCTCTACTGGTTTGTGTGCCTACACTGCAGCTGAAGTTGATGAAGGAGATTTATTCTTTTTGCTCTGTCTGATAAAAACCGATGTTGGTTCAACCATAGCACCTGAAATGTGGCTTCAACTGGAGCAGTTTCAGGACCTCTTCCAGGAACTCACTACTTTGCCACCACATCGTGATATTGAGCACCAGGCCATTCTCAAAGCAGGCGCTGAACCGGTTAATGTCAGGCCCTATCGTTATGCCCATTTACAGAAGGAAGAAATTGAAAAACAAGTACATGACATGCTCACCACTGGGATTATTCGGCCTAGCACAAGCCCCTATTCCTCTCCGGTCTTACTGGTGAAGAAGAAGGATGGGACGTGGCGTTTTTGCACGGATTATAGACAACTCAACGCCATCACCATCAAGGACCGGTTTCCAATTCCTACCATTGAAGACACCTTAGATGAGCTGCACGGGGCCACTGTGTTCACGCGCCTTGATTTACATGCCGGCTACCATCAGGTACGGATGCACAAATCTGATATCCCTAAGACAGCTTTTCGCACGCATAACGGCCATTACGAATACCTAGTAATGCCTTTTGGTTTATGCAATGCCCCGTCGACTTTCCAAGCCTTGATGAACACTATATTTGGTCCCTATCTCCGGAAATTTATATTAGTGTTCTTCGATGATATTCTCATTTATAGCCCCAACTGGACATCCCATCTTCAACATGTACGGGTAGTATTTTCAGTTTTGCAGGAACATGGATTTCGGCTTAAGTTTTCCAAATGTGCTTTTGGTCTCACAGAGTTGCTCTACCTGGGGCACATTATTTCTGCCACAGGTGTCAAGGTGGACCCCTCCAAAACTGATCCCATCCGACAGTGGCTGACACCAACAACTCCCACAGAGCTGCGTGGATTCCTGGGCTTAACCGGCTACTACAGGCGCTTTGTCTGTGGGTATGGCCTTATTGCCAAACCTCTTACAACTATACTAAAATAGGGAAGGTTTCTATGGACCGCGGAAGCACAACAGGCCTTCGATCGCCTCAAAACAGCCTTAACAACAACTCCAGTCCTCGTGATGCCCAATTTCCAAGCAACCTTCGTGGTTGAAACCGACGCATCAGGAGGGGGCATCGGGGCAGTCCTATCCCAGGATCAGCGTCCTATTGCATTCATGAGCAAGGCACTTTCCCCGAACAAAACCTCGTGGTCCATCTACGCAAAGGAAATGTTGGCCATCATCTATGCTATTTGGCTTTGGAGAGCGTATCTGTTAGGACAACATTTCGTTATCCTCACTGATCAACAAAGTCTCAAGCATCTGCTCGAACAATGGGTGGGCAGCCCTGAACAGCAGAAATGGGTAACTGAGCTATCTGGTTATGATTATGAGATTCGCTACCGCACTGGGCCCTCCAATCAGGTGGCAGACGCTCTCTCTCGCATCAGACATGACCAAGGAGTTTGATTGGCTATTTTTACTCCTACCAGTACTATCTGGTCCTCCATCATGGCAGAGTATGCACAGGATCCCCGACTCCAAGATTTATCTAATCCCGCATCTGCTTTACCTGACGAGAGATATTCCAGACGCAATGGGTTACTCTACTATAAGGGACGAGTTATGGTCTCGTCCACTTCGTCCCTTCAACAGCAGCTCATTGGCGAAGCCCACTCCACTCTTACAGGTGGCCACTCCGGCACCTATCGCACTTATAAACGTCTTTCTCAACTTTTCTATTGGCCAGGCATGCTTAAAACTGTGGAACAATTTGTATGGGCATGTGATGTTTGTCAACGCATCAAGGCTTCCACATTAAAAGCTGCAGGTCTCCTTCAGCCCCTTCCAATACCGACCCAAATCTGGGAGGATCTATCTATCGATTTCATTGACGGACTTCCCTCCTCCCAGGGGTACACCTCTATCTTGGTGGTGGTTGACCGCCTCAGCAAATACGCCCATTTTACAGCCCTCCGCCACCCTTATACATCCAAGACAGTGGCAGCAACCTTCACTGCCACCATTGTCCGTTTGCATGGTATTCCAACTTCTATCCTCTCTGACAGGGACCCCCTTTTTCTAAGCAACTTCTGGCAGCAATTGTTCGAGTCTGTTCCCACAATTACGGCCACACCACCACCACCACCCCCATCGCCACTCGGCCACGCCCTCTGCCTCTGCGGCCTCTACCGCGCCCGCGTCCTCGACCGCACTATGGTGTGCCATACTGCCGCGGTTGCCCGACCAGGTAAGTCTGCTGCCCGACCGGGTGCGTGGATCCCGAATGCTGCTGAGTCGGCTGCTGCCCAGACGGCTGCTTGGGAGAAGCAACAGCTGCGCCAAATGCCTGATGAAGGGATTGGGACTCCTGGGAGCGGAGATACAGGACCGTTGCTCTAACTCAAGAAGATGATTACGGAGAGTCTCAAACGGGAAATTTTGTCCAAATAATGACACAGCAGTGAATAAAGATTCATACTCAGGTCCTAGTCCCATAATAGTAGTTTTTAAAATTTCACGCTGAGGCACAGGGCAATTGATTGTGGCAAGATCATCAGCTAATGTTTTAATTTCTGGCAAATAATTATCCATGGACTGATCAGGTTTCTTTTTAATTTGATTAAATAGACGCTTTAATTCCATAGATCTCGCTAAACTGGCAGACATAAACCGAGACTCCAATCGCTCCCAAATTTCATATGAATGTTTTAAATCACGTACATCGATAAGAACATCCCTAGATAGTGTTGCAAATAACCATGAACGGATGGTTTGATCAATTCTCAACCAAGTAGAAATTCGGGATTGGGAGTCTGACGGTTAAGAGCATCTATGGAATAAGCAGGTGGTACCTGAATGGAGCCATCAACCATGCCAAGGAGAGCTTGGGACACCAAAAACGATTCAAACTGTGTGCGCCAGGTAGTGTAGTCTTCCACCGCTAATAATTTGGTAGTCACAATATTTGTGACATTAGTTGCCACATGAGAGATACTTTGGGCCAGATCCGTGAGGAGTGAACCGGCCGGGCTGGCTGCTGGTGTGCGAGAGGGAGGGAAGACAGAGGAAACACCAGGTGAGCCGACAAAAGTGGGACCGACAAACGATGATCCAGCCGAGAAGGGTGGCGAGAAGAGCCCTGGGATAGTCAGCATGGTAGGTGGCTGCCATGGGAACGCCGGAGGAAACAAGGAGTAGGCGTTGGGGATAGTCGGCATCGTACCACTCATCTTTTTGCTGTCAAGAGAATTTTCAGGTACTTGCAGGGAACACGAGATCATGGCCTTTGGCTTCAGCAGTCTAATCGGCCAACCTGTGTAGTTGCTTACTCCGATGCAGATTGGGCAGGTTGTCCTGATAGTTCTCGGTCCACCACAGGTTTTGCTGTATTTTTGGGTCCTAATTTGGTTTCTTGGAAGGCTAAGAAGCAGCCTACTGTGTCCAAGTCCTCCACAGAAGCGGAATATCGTGTCATTGCTTACACAGTACAAGACACACTACATATCCGATCAGTACTGTTCGAACTTGGATGGCCTATCTCAGAGCCGGTACATTTATTATGTGATAATATATCTGCTTCTTACTTGACTGCAAATCCATTTCATTTTGATTGATTATCATTTTGTTCGCGAACGGGTTGCTCATGAAGATCTGATTGTTAAGCATGTTCCTACTCATCTACAGCTGACAGATATTTTTACTAAAAATCTCTCTAGTCAACGTTTTCATTTTTTGAAAGACAATCTGCGCGTTGTATCTCCCGCACAGTTTGAGGGGGTGTAATAGAATTATTAGAGATTTAGTATTGTACTTTACATTAAACTCTCTTCAATATAAATATATCTGTCAGGGCTCCTCAGGAAGTAACCTTTCCCATTATTTCACAGCAGAGAGATGAAGGGGAAAAAGAAAAAATGGAATGAAGCACGAAGTGGGGAAGGAAGACGGAAATGGGGGAAGGGAGTTGCAGAGACGGAAATCGGGAAGGGATAAAAAGAGAAGAAAATTGAAATATAAAATGGAAAAACATATTAAAGAAAAACATTATACTTTGTATAATTAAGTGACATCCACCTCAGCTTTAGAAGGGATACCGGTTAGTTACCGGTCAAATGCCCTAATTGATGAAAAATTAAGATTTGGTAGACTTAATTGATTGAAAAATTTTAAAAATTCTGTACTTCAGCCGACCTTCATAAATTTCAACAGAACCAGCCGAATTATAAATTTCAACAGAATCAGACGATTTTCGTGTTACTGAAGGGGCCCTAACTTTGACTTGGCACGAGATTTAAGAAAACAAATCATTCCATCTGACATTTATTTGAATACAAAAGGATATTATAAACTACTATACATGATACTTTTAAGTAGTGATAATTTTAAATGCAACAAAAAAGATATTATGAAGATTATTGAAATCTGGAGTGAATAGTGAAGTCTATTTTCTCTCATGTCCGTATAATCTTTGAACTGCCAAAAATATTCACCAATAGACACGGAGTAATATTTTTGCCATTTCTTTCATACATTCCCTTTGAATAAAACTTTTTGAAAACCATTTGATTGTGTAAATCTAAATTCAATCATAACAGAATAAGATTAGTTGTTTTTATCTATATTTTATTACCATAAAAAAAATAAAATCAAAGTAAGAAGAGGTCTTCTCCGTAAATGTCTGTATTACGCCAGGAATACGTATCTGGACTATATTCTAATATTCCACGATTTTCCACCGCATATCTTTAACCACACCCAAACAGCCTTTATCTCTCTACCTATATTCAATTGTGTACCTCGTTTTTTAAACGTTGGAAATATTTTTTTATTTCTCCTGTTCTCTCTCTATCTCTAATATATCTCTATCTTTCTCTCTCTATATTATCTATACAGCTTTTGTTATCTAGCGTAAAGACACTTCTTCAATCCGGAACCGCCCTCCGACTGAGAGACCGTACCATTTTCTTCTGTTGCTTTCGGATCATCTCAGAAACAGAGAAGCTGGAATATCTGTTTTCCGGGTCGCAGAACATTGGGATCTTCTTCACCGGTTAATCTGATCCGACCCGGCCGGTAAACGCTCGGGCTTGCGGGTCATGACTCGGAGGTGCTCGCATTGCAGCAACAACGGGCACAACTCCCGGACCTGCCCGAACCGAGGGGTGAAGCTGTTCGGTGTCCGATTGACTGATGGGTCGATCCGGAAGAGTGCTAGTATGGGTAACTTGACCCACTATGCCACTAACGGTGGCGGTGGCGGCTCCACTCCCAATAATGGCGCCGCCCATGACTCCCCGGATCACCCTGCCGCCGTCGATGGGTACGCCTCCGAGGATTTCGTTCCTGGATCTTCCTCCAGTCGGGAAAGAAAGAAAGGTTAGCGATTGCTTTCAGTTTATAATTCTTTCATCAGATATATATAGATGGCCTGATTTTTAGCATAATTGTATGCAATATTCCTAATTTAATCTTGGAATCTTAGAATAAACCATCGATAGATAGTGGGATTGGTAGATTTTTAGCACTGTTCTCTTTATGTGTGTTTGTACATATAGGTCTATATTATTATCATTATTGATGTTCTTGTTATTGTTATTAGACGGAACTTCGAAGGGATTTGTCCAGTTGCACATATTTTTTTCTCAAATTTTGTTCCCCTGTACATTGAATGAATAGTTCGTTTTGGAAAGACTGTATCTTTTGCAATACAGGAAGTATGTTTCTTTGTTGGTGGATAATTAGAAGCTTGGAGTCCTTCATAAGGGCTATGTTTGGCATGCCAGTTATAAAATTCTCCACATCCAACTCTCTAGTGTTGGGGTAAACTCAGTTTTGATGTAGGACGTTAAAGCGTGAAACTGAAACAAAATTAGTTGAAAAGTTAATGTTTTTAGTTTTTTAATCCTACCAAATCATGGTAAGCTGAATTTCCTTTGGGTGAGATTTTATTCGAGAATTTACCGTGCATTTAAAACTTATTCCCTTTGAGTCTTTGACATATTTGTACATGTTTTTTTTGTACAAATATGTACAAATATTTGTACATATTTGTACATGTTTCCTTAGCTTTTCAGCTTACTTTCCAAACGGCCCTACTTCATATGGTAAATAAATCCAATGCAGATTTAGACCATAATTATGGCATTAGCTTCCATGTACAGCTTGATGAGGGAAACATACCAAAACTGATACTTTAAAAGGGTCATTAGTAATTTGATGTCATTAGTAATGGCATTTCTTTGTATCATAATATGTTTGATAGTAAAATGTGTTGATTGTTCTCACTACCTTTGGGAAGTATCCCAACCTTGTGAAGGTCCACTTCTTATTTTGAATCTTTTACCAACATCGTTTGTGTATAAAAGAATGGTGAATTAAGACAACTTGTGAGGATTAAGTTTTCACAGCCTTGCTACTTTGGCTATTTGAGTGTTTCATATGGCTGACTGATGATTCTTGATTATGTTTGCAAACAATATAGAATTAGAAACGTCATCTATCATTTCTGAAAATATCTCCTCTCTTGTTCAATTGTTTATAGGTTAAGTGTCATCTTTTCCATTGCAGGTATTCCATGGACTGAAGAAGAGCATAGAATGTTTCTTCTTGGTCTACAAAAGCTTGGTAAAGGAGATTGGCGTGGAATTGCACGTAATTTTGTGATTACAAGAACTCCCACACAGGTTGCAAGCCATGCTCAAAAATATTTTATCAGGCAAAGTAATTTATCAAGGCGTAAAAGACGCTCCAGCCTATTTGATATTGTTGCGGATGAAGTAAGATTATCATTATTAGTTATTATCATTGTTATTATTTTCCTATACATATATTGTATATACTGTCATAATCACACGGATGTAAAATTAAACACAACTATAGTCACTACATTCACTGGTAAATACCACCATTTTCCTATACAGGCTATATATATTGTATATACTGTCATAGTCACACTGATGTAAAACTAAACACTACTAGAGTCACAAAAAACTAAACACTACTAGAGTCACTACACTCACTCTTAATTGCCACCATAGCCACAATGGGGTAAAACTGTAAAAGGCACTTCTTGTCCATTACATTTGTTTTAATCATTTATCTGTCACCCCGACCACAACCACTCACACATATATAGCGTGGACAATCTGAAAATGAGCTGCTGTTTTCTTAATGGTGCTTTTCATCCACTTTTGCAGCCAGTCGACACTCCAATGGAATCTCACGATTTCATGTCAATCAATCATCATGAGACGGATGCACAAACTGATAATCCACTATGTGATCCACCTCCTCCTAACCTGGTCGAAGAATGTGAATCCATGGGTTCAGCCAACTCCAACAACGATGGAGACACCATGCTTCCCATCTCAGAGAGCTCCCCATACACTTACCCAGTCATATATCCCGCTTACGTGACCCCTGTATATTCTTTGCCCATTCCTTATTGGCAAGGGTATACCTGTCCAGAGCCAACAACCAAGGCCGAGCGGCACAAAGTGCTCAAGCCCACGGCAGTCCATTCCAAGAGCCCTATTAATGTGGATGAGTTAGTTGGGATGTCAAAACTGAGCTTGGGAGAACCACCAGCTGTATCTTTGAAACTAGTTGAAGGGTCAACAAGGCAGTCGGCCTTCCATGCTAAACCTCCTACCCACAATCTGATCCATGCTGTCTGAGGCTATAAATCTATAATTAGTGTGTTGTTTGGTTTATATATGGTTAGTCATAACTTCATTTGTTGGAATAATAATCTCTAGGATGGGATTTTAGGAATCATTGACTATTAAGCTTTTTGAAGCATCTTTCTTCATCTTTGCAATGCTATATTATTTCTCCGGGGGTGGGGGGGGGGGGTGGGTCTTTGTGTCGAAAAATAAGGTTCAGAGTGAGTTCGACCAGAGTATTAGATGAGTTGTTATTCTAGTTTGGCTCATTCTTTCTATGTAGTTCAACAAGCCTACCAATCTTGTATAAAATTATCTTTAGATTCTGTGACCACATTTTGAGACGATTCCAGTACTAGTCCCATTGGCCTAATTAGTACTGAAACCTAATTTTTGTACGAAATTAAACTTAGCCATATTAAAAAAAGAAAAAATTCCACTTTTGCTCTCGTGACTATTATACCACTTCTACATTTAGTTCCTTATTTTTAGATTGTCCACATTTAGTTAAAATTCTATCAATTTTAATGCACATTTTAGGTATGAAAAACCAAATTTAATACAAAGATTGATATGAAAAACCCAACCTTATATAAAATTTAATGCAAAGACTTATTCTGAGGCTGATAAGTGGACTAAATTTGCATGAATTTTGGTCGGAAGGACGAGGAGTGGTGAGGGGATAATGGACACGGACTAAATGTGGACAATCTGAAAGTAAGGGACTAAATGTGGAAGTTGTATAATAGTCATGTGACTAAAAGTGAAATTTTTTTCTTAATAAAATATTGCATTTGATCAGAAATTTAGTCAAATTGTATGCATCATCAATACGAGAAGAAATAAGCAGAATAAACTATCCTTTTGTGACTGTCTTTTATGAGTCCTTTCCCTATTATCCGGACACAATTGGTCTTCTTTGGATTAAAGTTTCATGCTTGGAGTGGCTAACTTGATCAAGATAGTGACATGAGGAAATTGATTGGGACAATGCGTGTTTAACTATATACTTCCTCCGTTCATTTTTAGTTGCAACGGTCAACATTATATCTTAATTCTATTAGTAAAAAATATATTAAAAATCAGATTTTGAAAATTTGTAATGAGATGAATTGAACAATATTTTTTTTAAAAATTATTTTCATAAAATAATAGCGTAAAATGTAGTCAAAGTAGATCATGTGAATAGTGTAAAATTCAATATGTTGCGATTAAAACGGAACGGAGGATAGTATATTATTAAGAAGTTGTTTTGTTCGTGTGATTTGAATTTTTATGATTCGATCTGATATGAACTTTTTGATCGGAGTATTACTTATTTAGAAGTATGACTAGGACACCTATTTTTAAATAAAGAAATTATTTGATGCTCATTCCTATTACACAATACACATAAACTAGTAGACAAACATCTTAGTAAAAAACTACTGTCATTACTTTAATTTATACAGAATTTGCTGGGAAACAAAATAAGTAGTCTAACTCCAACTCTTATGTAAATCACTGTAGTTGATACTTGAGGAAAAATACTATTTTCAGAAGCAATGCTTAAAATTAGAAAGTTGTGTGTCTTGGTCTTTTCATCATTAAAAAAAGAGGTGATTTGAGTTTGCACCCCGTTTTATTGTTCAAATTGGATTTTGCACCCCATTTTTAAAAACATTTGTACTTGCACCCCAACCCTGTATGAAAAGACAAAAATGACCCTCAATCAGAAAATTTTCAAGTCGAACAAAATTGTTAATGGAGGAGCATTTTTGTCTTTTCATATAAAGTTGGGGTGCAAATATAAAGGTTTTTAAAAACGAGGTGCAAAGTCCAATTGGAATAATAAAATGAAACATAAGCTTGGAATACAAATGAAACATCATTTTCATACCGTTGGAATGTAAATGAAATGTTTGAATCAATAATGTTGATTTGAGAAGATGTGGGTGACCGAATTGACCTGACCATTTTTATGATTAAGCTAACTCCAATCATATTGTGTTATTATTAAGCCAACTCCAACTAGGGTTGTTAACGAGTCGAGCCGAACCCGAACACCCAAAATTCGAGTTCGACTCGATAAAGCATTAATGGTGTTCGGTTTCGAGCTCGAAGCTCGGCGAGCTTAACAAATGAGATTCGTGTTCGACTCAATAGGAGTTCGATGTTCGAACCGAACACTCTATAAGCTCGATAAATATGCTCGAATTTAAAATTTTAGGTGATGCGTTGCTCGTTAATAGGCCTGTGCTCGAATGACTCGACAAATATTCGGTTCGTTAATAATCATATTTAAATTCATAAAATCATACTAATTATATTTAAATTTTGACATATATATAAATTATATTTATAATTTCAGGATGTTCGATAGGCTCGGGTTCGAACCGAGCCGAATACTACTATGTCCGAGCTCGGCTCGACTAATTTTTCGAACTGAAAACTCAGCTCGGGTTCGAGTTCGAAAACTCAACAAGCTCGGCTCGCTAGGTTCGAAATCGAGCTCGAACTCGAATAGTTCGAAAAAGGTTGTGTTCGGATGCCCTAGATCAGCCTCTTTTGAGCTGAAATATTCTATTTATGCCAATTACAATAATTCTAGCCCCGTTTGGATAGCAGGTTGATAGTGGCTGAATGGAAAAAATATTAGCTTTTCTGAAACGTTGATGCCACAAACATTTACTTCAGCCTGTATGATTGTAGAATTTATTTACCAATTATGCCCATATTTGTACTAATAAATTACGCTAACATTTTTAGAAAAATCTTTTATTTTGAATTTTGGCCACCACTCGTGCCGATGTGTCATGAACAGAGTTCGATTTCCACTTTTTATTTATTCATTTATTTTACTTTTACAGCTTTTAGTTGTTTTGTGTTTGCTGAGTGCATCACAAATATACGTGATACGGTCCAACATATATTCGTAATGAAAAATATTTTTAAGAAAATAATTATACAAAATATTTTGTTACAGTGATAAATGATATGCCCTTTAATGTAATTTCACATTATCCAAGTACTTTAATTTCAGCTTTTTTGCCAAACAGGTCTACTTCATTCAGTTAGTCATTCAAATTCATCATTTCAAAATTCAGTTCGAGACAATAGTATCTGAATCAGACAATAGCTCCTAATTCAGACATTAGCCTCCAATTCCAACTTGTTGTGTCGAACATAGCCAAAAGCTCGGTTCGTTAACAACCCTAACTCCAACAGAATATATGCAACATACACATGATATTCTATCCATCTTTTATTTTCCTCGTCTTTCTTTCCTTTGTGGCTCCAATATCTTGGATCGATTCATGATTGTCGACCTCAAATTCATTTAGGAATAAGGCTTGGATGTTGTTATTGTTGGTCTAATCCGTTTTTGGCTAATCCCATACTTGAGCAAGCTAAGTTAAATATAAATAAACTAGATCAGACAGTTTAAAGTTTAAACCAGACTCTTAGGAACTCCAAAAAACTTTATAAAAATGATGCAGAATTTTGATCATAAAAATATACAGATGGTTCTGACTTGTGAGTGTTTTTCCAAACTCGAAACATGTCCTGCAGTAGAAAAATATTGAACAAAAAATAGCACGTTTTTCTTGATCCATATATCATTTGGGTTGAAAATTGAAATGGTCCACGAAAGGCATGCATTTTCCTCTTTTAGCACATTATCGTACAATGGTGGGCCAACCGAAGGTCTCTCTACTCAAATTATATCATGGGATCAGCCCACTTTTCCCATGGTGTGCCGATCTCACTTTTGATAGTAAGCTACGTTACTTCCTTTCTCCCTAGAGTTTCTTCATTCCTTTTTCTTTTGTTTTCCTTTCTTTATTTATCTTTTTTTTTACTTTTCAATTCTTTTCTTTTTCCATCAAATTAAAATATTAAGAATCTAATTGCAATTTTACTTTTGTTTATCTTCAATTTAAATTATAATTGAATCTATTTTTTTATTCTTTATCAATACATAACAAAAAGTTTAATAATCTAAATAAAATAAGTATATTACATTTCATTTTCATACACTATTTTTATTTCTGTAATATTTTTTTCATTCATACAACATTTTTTGTAATATCTTTTTTATATTCACACATTTTCTTGCAATAAACTTTTATATGCATACACTTTTTCTATAAACCTTTTTTATCGATTTTATATGTTTTTAGAGATTTTTAAGACAATGAATTTGTTTATTTTGATTCTTGGAGTTAGATACATTTGATAATATACGAAGTTACATCTTCTTATGCTTGAGTTACATGTTATTATACAGGGACGGATCATTGTGAGGGCAGGGGTGGGCTCCAGCCCAGCCCAAACTTATTTATTTTTATTAATATGGGTATAGATTTAACGTCCAACCCACCCCAAATTAATGTTTAGGCCACCCCAAAATTAAAATCCAACCCAACCAAAGTCCAATTGAAATGAAGTCTATTACCATCTGTGGCCTCTTTATTACCGATTCTATGAAGACGAAGCGCAAAGAGCAGAAAAGGCCAGAGCACAGGGAGTAGCCAACATCAGCCGACCTACGGCCACTAGCCGCGTCGCCGCCTGCTGTCTACGCCCAACACTCTGCCGTCCACCGCTCAAGGCTCCTCCAGCTGTCTAGGCGATCAGGGCGCCATGCAATCCAGCTCCAGAACTCGAAGAAATTACCAAAATGCGGGCTTTTCCTGTCTGACAAGCCAAATTACGGGAGTTTCGTTTAGGTTACAATAATACGGGAGTCGGAATTGTGGAATCCGACTAGGAGAGGATTTCGAATAATTAAATAATTAAATACACCCTGTCGGAATTCCGAAATCCGACAGGAGGAAGTGGCTATAATTATTTTATACTCCTATATTAATTTATTACTCCGTATTTTATACTCCTATGTTAATGGTGCACCAATGAGAAATTAAATACACCCCTAGTTTGATTTGTGTCGGAATTGCCAAATCCGAAAGGAGTTTTTTAGAAATGTATATATTGCTATTTTTATATATTCTGGTCGAAATAAAATGTAAAAAACAACAAAATTTCTCCCTGTCGGAAAGCACAATTCCGACTAGGGGGTGGTTTTAGAAATTTTATATTCAAAAATTCATATATTTTGTTTTATTTTAAGAAATTATATAAATTAAATTTTATAAATGACGTTGTTATTTTAAGAAATTTTATATTCGAGAA